TTCCACCTTCTTGAACAACATCATTTAATATTTCTTGCCATTCGTGTGGCTGGCGATTAATAGTTTCAGCTTCGAATGTCTGAGAAGTCTATTTCTCCTTCAGTTTTGAAAGGTGTTTGGGGCCAGGTGCGGTGGCTCACGCCTGTAATGCCAGCTTTTTGGGAGGCAAAGGCGGGTGAATCACCTGAGGTCAGGAGTTCTAGACCAGCCTGGCCAACATGGTGAAACCCTATCTCTACTAAAAATACAAAAGTTAGCTGGGAGTGGTGGTGCGCACCTGTAATCCCAGCTGCTCGGGAGGATGAGACAGGAGAATCGCTTGAACACGAGAGGCAGAGGTTGCAGTGAGTCAAGATCAGGCCTCTGCACTCCAGCCTGGGCAACAGAGTGAGACTCCACCTCAAACAATAATAATAATAATAATTTTTAAAAAAGGTCTGTCTTGTAAAGCTCTTGGAGGGGCATGGACTCTAGATTGGCAGTTCTGTTTTGTGTTTCTTTTTGTGTGTTGAAGATCTTGTCCCTCGGTCCCCTCGCTTGTCTTGGCTGGGAAACTGCTGCTGTCCTTGTTCCTCGGAATGTCATGTGTCCTTTTTCTCTGACTCCTCTTAAAGCTTTCTCTGTATCATTGGTTTTGGCAATTTGATGATCACATCTTTTTGCAGATTTTTTTCATGCTTCTTGTGCTTGGGGTTCGCTGAGCTTCCCAGATCCCTGGATCTGTGGTTTTTATCAAACTGGAAATTCATCAGCCATTGTTTCTGCAGATTTTTTTTTTTTTTTTTTTGAGGCGGAGTCTCGCTCTGTCGCCCAGGCTGGAGTGCAGTGGCCGGATCTCAGCTCACTGCAAGCTCCGCCTCCCGGGTTCCCGCCATTCTCCTGCCTCAGCCTCCCGAGTAGCTGGGACTACAGGCACCGCCACCACGCCCGGCTAATTTTTTGTGTTTTTAGTAGAGACGGGGTTTCGCCGTGTTAGCCAGGATGGTCTCGATCTCCTGACCTCATGATCCGCCTGTCTCGGCCTCCCAAAGTGCTGGGATTACAGGCTTGAGCCACCGCGCCCGGCCTCTGCAGATGTTTTATGTGCTCCTCTCTTCCCTCACAAGGAACGCAGTGGAGCAGATCTTCAGCTGCTCCAACTCTGACGCACCATTCAAATGTTTGAGGGTTTCTTTTGTCTCCACGTTTCATTTGTAAGCCAAAAATAAAATTATAAGGCCCCCCAACCGTCTGAATGGACTGCCTCCTCGGCCAGGACACTCTGAAATTCAACCTGAAAGACTGGTTCAGGCCTTGACCCTGGACGGGAAGTAGTGGTCGGGCTTGCCTCATTACAACCTCCAGCACAATCAACACAGACATTAAGTCTGATAAAAAGCATTTAGGAGGCCAGGTGAGGTGGCTCACACCTGTTATCCCAGCACTTTGGGAGGCTGAGGCGTGTGGATCACCTGAGGTCAGGAGTTCAAGTCCAGCCTGGGCAACATGGTGAAACCCCATCTCTACTAAAAAAAATACAAAAATTAGCTGGGCATGGTGGTGCACCCCTGTAATCCCAGCTACTTGGGAGGCTGAGGCAGGAGAATCACTTGAACGCAGGAGGCAGAGGTTGTAGTGAGCCAAGATCATACCATTGCACTCCAGCCTGGGCAACAAGAGTGAAACTCAATCTCAAAAAAAAAAAAAGCCTTTCTTTTTTAGGATCTATTCTCTCTGAAGCCTGCTGCCTGGAGGCCTCATCTGCAAGATCAAACTTTGGTCCCTGCAACCTCTTATCATAGCCCAGATAGCCCAGATATTCCTCTCTATAGATAATAACTCTTCCAGCCAATTGCCAGTCAGAAAATGTTTTAATCTACCTATCACTTGTAAGCGCCGCCCTTTGAGTTGTCCCACCTTTCTGGACCGAACCAATGTGTTACCTCAGGACCTCCTGAGGCCTGTGTCATGGGACATGGTCACTCACATTTGGCTCAGAATAAATATCTTCAAATATTTTTCAGAGTTTGACTCTATTCATCAACACATTTCAGGTGTCTTTTTGACACAGGGATATTTTCTCAGTCACTTTGCAAGCTGGGGACCTCCGGTTGGTGATGCCCCACCCAGGCGTCACTCAGCCACACTACCTGCTATAGGAGGTAGCCCACTCACTCAGCCCACCCGGGCCAGGTTTGGCTTGAGTGCCAGTTCCCAGGTTCTTGTCCCACACCCAAGAAGAATGAGGATGCGCTGACAGTCGAAGGGTGAGCAAGGCAGGGAGTTTCACTGAGAGATGAAACAGCTTTCAGCAGAAAGGGGACGCAAGGGTGGTCTCCCTACCTGAAGGCAGGAAAGTCCTCCGTGTGTCTGGGTCCAGGGCCGTTTACAGATTCAGAATGGGGAGTGCATGCAGATTGGTTTGTGAGTATGCAAAAAGGGTTAAAGCAAGGACACCACTCAAAGGTGGGCACAATAGTGTAGAAAACCAATTGGGAAAGAGTAAGTATATGTAAAATAAGAGAAGGGTGGGGACCAATCAGAAGAAAGCACATCAAATGGGAAAACAAGCTCTTAATCCAGTCCGAGGGTTTAATTCGTACATAGCTTGGCTTTCAGGCTCTAAACTGTCTTTGACTTGGAGGTGGGGCTTCACCAGGACCCGCCCCATCTGCCTGGGCAATTAGCTGCCTCCTGTCATTATCACTTTTTGCTATCTTCAAGTTCACTCATCTTTTCTTCTGCAACATTTAATATCACCCATTGTGTTTTTCATTTCTGACACTGTAATTCTCATCTCAGACACTGTAATTCTCATCTCAGACACTGTAGTTCTCATCTCAGACACTGTAGTTCTCATCTCTAGAAGCTTGATTTTGGTGTCTTTTATACTTTCCATACCTCTACTTAATGTGTTTGGCCCTTCCTCCAGCTCTCCAGACAGACAGAATACAGTTCTAACAACTGTTTCAATATCTTTGCTGATTTTAACGTCTGTGTTAGTTCTGAACTGGTTGATTTCTCTTCTCCTTGTGTGTTACATTTTCCTGGTTTTTTGTTGAATTTTTTAATCAAATGCCCAACACTGTAAAGTCCAGGAGTGCTGAATATGTTTGTATTCATGTAAATATACTTGAGATCAGAGATGAGTTTATTTTGAAAGAGTTTAATCCTCTCAGGTCTTGCTTTTAAGCTTTATCACGAGGGACCAGAATCATGTTTAATCTAGGTTTCACGACTCCTTGGCACTGAGGCAAGATCCTCCTGAGAACTCTACCCAGAGATTCATGAGTCATAGGGTTTTCCCATCTGGCCAGAGGGAATAAGCACTGCTCCCAGCTTGATCAGCCCTGAGCACGTGAGCACAGCTTCACCTACCACCCTCGGAGGATCCCTTCCTCCCTCCCTAAGCCTCCCCCGTGTAGATGTCTCCTCTTGCCTGCAGCCCTCTCCCCTCCAGCACTCTGCCTTATGAACTCCCGATGTCCTGACCTCCCCAGACCTCAGGTCCACTTACTTGTTGACGAAAAGAGTCAAGCTTTGTAAGATATTTTAAGAGATTGATTCTGGCCATGGCCCATGACATAGCCCTCAGGAGGTCCTGAGAAGGTGTGCCCAAGGTGGTCGGGGCACAGCGTTTGTTTTCATACATTTTAGGGAGACACAAGACATCAAATACGTTTAAGATATACATTGGTTGGGTCCAGAAAGGTGGGACAACTCAAAGGGGGAACATGGGGGTTCGGGGGGCGCTTTCAGGTAACAGGTAGATTTCAAATTTTTCTAATTGGCAATTGGTTGAAAAACTTATCAATAGAAAGGAATGTCTGGGTTGCGATAAGTGGCTGTGGAGACCAGGCCTCCAGGCAGCAGGCTTGGGAGAGAATAGATTGTAAATGCTTCTCATCAGACTAGAGGTCTGCATTGATGTAATGATGTGGAATGAGGCGTGTCGGACTCCCGCTTCCCATCATGGCCTGAGCCAGTCTTTCAGGTTAAACTATAGAGCACCCTGGCCGAGGAGGAAGTCCATGCAGATGCTCGGGGGACGCCTTCGCATTTCATTTTCGGTTGACATCCTCAACTCAGGGCATCTGCAGGCCCTTCCTCGGTTTCCCCTCTCTGTGCCACTGCCTGGAAACTCCCCCGGAAGCAGCCCGCCGGAGTCGCTGTCCTCTGTGGCCCAGTGTCGGTGTCTTTAAGAGCTGTGTCTCATATATTGAGTCTGGATTTGGGAGACGAGGGGGTCACGGAGACTTTGGGGCAGGTTCCCACCGAGACCATCACGGCTCTGAGTTCGACCTATGGGAACACGTAGCCACCAGAGCCGGCCCAAGCCCACGTCACCCCAGCAGCATCCCCGTCTCCATTCTAAGGGGAGATGAGGACAACATGAAAACAGGATGCGTCTCGTGTCTCACACCCACCGGGTCTCGCTTTTCAGCCTCGGTCTTGTTGCTCACCGCAGGACGGGCTGGTCCTCGCCTCCTGGTGCTCCTCAGAGTGTGGTGCTGCAGGCCTGCAGAGGCTCTTTGTGAGCTGGGGAAGGAGCAGTGGCCAGGCAAGCCCAGAGCTTGGGGGTTCCGGACCCATCAGAAGGATGGAGCCCCACAGGGGAGCTGGAAGCACCTCCTGAGCTCCAGCCGCCCTGCCAATCAGGGGCCAGGAAGCAGGTGTGGAAGCCCCAGAAAGAAGGAAGAAGAAAGTCTCCCCAGGCCCCGGGGCTTTGCAATTTGACCTACTTCCTTCTCACTGTCATTACTGTGTGTAGACAGGGACTGGAGACCTGGAAGGATTAGGCCCAGCCTGGACTCTCCCCGGGTCCCAGCTGGCTCTACCTTCCTGCTAGGCCCGTGGCACTGGGCACCATGGTGCCATTTCTGGACAAGGGGCCTGGCAGCCTCTCCCCAGTTCTGACCCTGTCTTGTCTCCTAGGCTTCCCTGAGACCCAGGAGAGACAAACCAAGCCACCGATCCACGCCAATGGGCCTCTGTAATAAAAAAGGTACCAAGAGTCCATGAAATGTTTAACACCGCGTTTTACTGCTAACGAGTGAGGCAGAAGCCAGCACCTTCTGAGAAAGGATTTTCCAGGCATTTTACAGATCAAAGTCATAGAATAAAATAAATATGACCAGAGAGGGTTGTGAGGAGCAAGGAGTTCTGTCAAAGAAAGAGCTCATACGAAGAAGGAGGGGGGAAGTACTGAAGGGGCTGCTGGGAGCACGGCCCTCCCTGTGCCATTTGCAGACTCTCCCCATAGCCCATGCAATTTTGAAGGGCGGAGAGGCCTCTGGAGGCCTCTTCTCCCCCACAGCTGGTCATAACCGTGTCCCGCTACTGACAGACAGGTCTGTTCACGTCTTCAATGCCCAAATAAAAACACTGAGGCCCTGAGAGCTGCAATGATGTGTCCGAGGTCCCACAGGGTGGTGGAGATAGGCCTGAGCCTGTGTGACTCCCAGCCCGGCTCCCCGCTCAACCCTGGAGGTCTCCAGGGCAGTGGCCTCATCCTCCCTCAGTGGGTTCAGCCAAACACTGTCACCTCCGTCGGTCCAAATTCGTGGCCCCTGGGTTTCTAGAAAAGCAGAGCACACAATCAGTCTGACGCTGACCCCCTTCTCCAGGAAGAAGCCCCAGAGGTGAGCTACAGACAGCCGTTCCCTGGAATCATGGCTCCCAGGCAGGGCTAGTGTCCTGGCTGCTGCCTCCAGCCCTGGCAGCCACACGGCCTGCTGTCACCTTCCTGAAGTTCTTAGCCTTTGGATAACGGCCCCACCCCACACCCAACGAGGTGTCTCGTGGAAGGCTTTTTGCATCCTATTCTCACCACAAAGGCAGGACAAGAAATGAGGGAGGAGGTGGGCAGAGAGGTGGTGGCCCATGGAGGGATTCGGTCGGGGAGAAATGAGGCAGTGCCTTGCTCTAGGGAAGGAGGGGGAGCCACCAGTCTGGGGGGCAGGAGATACAGAAGATGGGTCCAGACCACAGCTTCTGCAGGGGGTCCTCTCCACTCCCACCCCTGGGACCCCTAAGGTCCTCCCAGCTTCTACCCTGGACAGCTCAACCTCCAGACTGGGACTGGAGTCACGTCCCCAGCCCAGTGGGCAGGGGTCTCCCAGGACTGCCCCCTGCTTTGGGGATGGTCCCAGGCCTGCTCGGGAGGCCTGCCTGCTCTCTGCAGAGGCTCTGACCAACCCGGATAGCACTAGGGCCTCTAGGACTGAGCTCAGTGGTAGGGACCAGAGGACAGCATGCAGGTGCCCCTAACTAAGCTAGCGTGCACCAGATGTGGTGCTGGGTGCTGAGTGCAGGAGATGTGGAGAGGAGCCAAAGGAGGGGGCAGCCATGGGGACAGGGTGGGGGTTCTCCAGGCAGGTGGACCCGGCTGTGCCCTAAAGGAAGGCAGGTGAGGGCACTAGGGCACAGCATGGCCAGAGGCGGCCGCACCCAGCGTGCTCCATGGATGGTGTAGCCGGAGCAGGTGTGTTGGGGGCTGGGGGTCCCAAGAGGCAAGATCAAAAGCCCAGGGTCTCAAATACCAGCCTGAGCCATGGGGAATGTTCCAGCTTTGTGGCCACCATCGGTAGCTTTAGGCTAGAGAGGATGAAGGCAGGGTGCTAGGGGCTTCAGTGAGGCAGTTAGGAGGGTGGGAATCTGGGGATAGAGCCAGGGGTCCTGCAGAGTGTCAGGATCTCATGCAGAGGGTGAAGGAGAAGGTGGCAGCCCCAGGGGCACATCGGACTCACCCACTCTCCAGCACTGTAGCGTGAACAAGTAACTTCCTCCTGGATGCCATGAAGCGCTCTGCCCAGTGTGGTGTGATCCAGAGGTAAGGGGACCCCTGCCCCTCAAAGAACCCTGTCAAAGTGGCTCAACCTCGATTCTGAGTTCCCAGGAAGCCTCAAGCCTTGTGGGTGTCTGAGCCCCACTTCTGTATGTGCCACGGGCGCTGTACACAACATCGCACCCCAAGAGACAGACATCCACAAGACGCCCACTCCATACCACGAAGAGCATCGCCATGAACACCTGCGCCAGCTCCTCTCCTCCGGGCGGCTGCACCGAGGCTTCCAAAGCAGGCACGCCTGCCTCGGGGCGCCGGGGCAGATCGTGGGATGCCCATGCTCTCCTTTCCCCAAGACTTCTGTCCCAGGGTCTGCCAAGGTCCAGTTCAAAGACCCACAGTCCAACCACCGAAATGCACTAATAAAAAAATTCTGGTCTTTATTTAGGCTTCTTTAAAAAGATAGAATCCACTTGATTCATGGAGCACAGAGACTCCACAAAGTCCTTGGATTTTGTTTCTTCTGTCACACCCCACATATGTTCCAGAGCCCCCTGCCCTCTGAAGCCCCCAAAATCTCCTTCCCCGAGCCCGAGTCCCTGCCACCTGCTCTCTCAGCCCCTTGGGCGTTCAGCCTTGTGTGGTTTCATGGCCTCTGTGCCCACACCCAGGTGCTTCGTGACACCAGGAGTCCGGGAGACCAGCCCCACGCCAGCCTCTGGCCTCCTGCCTCCTCCCCACCTCTCCTGCCCTCTCCCCATACCCCCTCACCCACCAGCAGCCAGACTGCCAAGCCCCAAACTCCCCACAGAGGGCAGAGCCCATGGGCCATCCTGGGAGAGAAGGCTGTCTGTGCATGTGTTAGGAAATCTTGTCTCCAACACACTGGAGGGTGTTGATTTTCTGTTGTCCCCCAGGGTCCCACTGTTAATGGCCAGTTCTCCGGCCCTGCCCTATCTCCTCTCAGGCAGCCCCTAGAAATGGGATGATTCCATCCTGGAACAGCAGGAGCGCATGGGCCAGGAGCTCCAGCCTGGGAACAACAGGAGAAAGCGGAGGGGCCAGGAAGTGTCCCTCAGGGAGGACCTGCAGCCAACACAGCCTCCCTCCAGGTCCCTCCACAAGGAAGGGGAGAGCAGGACGCCGCCTCCACTCCACGAGCTCTTCAGTAGGAAGGAGGGTGGCGTCAATGTGTTGGTGAGGCCTGGCTGGCCCCACTGCCCCAGCCCCAGTGGGGTGAGCCTGCCCCACCGCCAGCCCACAGAGGCAGCATCCACAAGTTGGAGCCAGATGACACAGCCAGGTCCTTGCCCAGGTCAACCAGACCCGGCCAGGGCAGTCAGGCCGGTGACTAATGGCCTTCCCTGCTGAGGCCCTTTGGGCTTCCTAGCTTTTCTAATGCAGCTGTGAGCCTGAGCCTCTAATTATCGCCTTCAGGGATCTGCCAGGTCAGGCTGCCCTCCACGGAAGCTCCCGACTGCTCTGCTCTCGTCCTGCCAGAGGCCAGAGCAGGTGCTTCCAAGAGCACAGACCTCAAGCGGTCAGGGGAAGTGAGGAAAAGAAGTGAGATAGCTGAGTCAGGGGTCACCAGGTGCCCTGGACATGGCCTGCCTTGCCTGACACCCTAGCTCCCCAGCTGGGCAAAGGACCCTTCTCCTCCCACATGCCCGAGACCCTGTCTCCTGGCCCCCCTTCCCACCCAGTCCCTCATCAGCCAGAACAGGGGCCAGACCACAAAGGGGCCTCCCATGGCCCCTCCTGCCCACTGCTCTGGGAATGGTTGGGCCCCCTCCCGGCCCCCACACCCAACCCGGCCCCCGGCTGGTGCCCACCTCGCCTGCCTCTAGGCCTTGGGATGCCTGCTCCCCTGTCTCTTCATCTGAATGTCTCCTGTGGAGCCTCTGATTTCAGCTGAGAAGCCGCCTCCCCCCATGACTCGCCTGTACCCCAAGGGTACCCCACAGCCTCCAGGGCTCCCCCGTCTTTGAAGGGATCACCCAGGAGTGCAACTGTCCCATTTCTTCTCTGTCCCCCACCCGCTGTGAGCACCAGGAGGGCAGCAGAGGGTCTGCTGTGTTCATGGCTATAGAGGGGCCCCTCTACAGCCCCCAATACCTGGGACACTTGGGTTGCCACAGCTGACGGGGAGCCGCTGCATCGAGTGGGCAGAGGGTGTGGATGCTGCTCAACCCCCAACAACGCACAGGCCGGCCCCTCGCAACCAAGGACGGCCCAGCCCCAAAAGGCAAGAGTGCCTCCAAGGACAGACCCGAGACTGACTCCCCACAGGCACACGGCCCGGCCCGCGGTGGGAGCTCAAGGGTGTGTACGGTGACCAACTGAGCCTCCAGCTCATTAGCAGGTGCTCGGCTCAATGCCTTCCCAAGGCCTGGAGGGATGACATGTATTTTAAGAACACACACACACACACACACACACACACACACACAAAAGCACTGTTTGCCAAAGTAAACAGCCTGGCAGGAGACACCATCGCTGCGTCCAGGGGACTGACCTCCACCATTCTGCCCATGCCCACACCCCATGTGCTTAACCTGGCCCACTGTGGGTGAAAACCACACCCACGGGACACCAGTGCTTTCAACTCTGGAGCCCTGTGCCCTCCCACTGCACCGTCCCTGCTCCCCCGCCTGTGCCCTCCCACTGCACCACCCCTGCTCCTTCGGAGGAGGAGTTGAAGCACACAGAACTCGAGGCCCCGTCCCAGCCCTGCCCCTGAAGGCTCTGCCGTGCACGCTCACTGACACCTGGGCCCCAGTCTTCACTTCTAGGAGGCAGCAAGGGGCCCTGCCTTGCCCCTCCCAGGATGGACGGTCACAGGAACTGAACAAAACACTGAAGACAGAAGCCCCTCCCGAACTGTAAGGTGCTGTGCCCCCGGGAGGAGCATCCCAGGTCTCACTGACCTCACCAGGCTGCCCCTTCATAAGGATACCAGCCCGCTGGGCACCTTGTGGGGCAGGAGCCCAAGGCCCACATGTGCATCTGCCCACTATGCAGGGAGCAAGGCAGCCCACAGGCTCCAGCGTGCTCAGGGAAGCGAAGGAACCAGGCAGATGGCTCGTGGGCAGGTTGGCAGCACCACCCCCACGTGGGCGGTCAACACAGACACTTGTGCTGTCTCCTCCTCATCATATCAAAAGACACCATGGGCAGAGCTAGTTTTGCCCAGGAGACGAGGCCTCCAGTATCTTGGCTTTGTTCTCCAGGAAGCCCCACCCCTCCACATGACACAACCTCCCTGACCCTCTTAGCACTCAGTGCTGCTGGCAGCCAACCCTTCTCCACCTGGACGGGTGCAGCCACTTTGCTTGTCTGTCACCCCAGCAGACTGTGGCTCTGTGAGGGCAGAGACTGGACCTGGCTCTTTCCCATGAGTCTTTTCCTCCCAACCCCCAGCTCTAGACTGGCGTGTTTGAGTTATTCAAGGAAAACTTGTAGAATGAGGGGATGCAAGTGTGGATGGGTGGGTGGATGGATGGATGTATGGAAGGGTGGATGGATGGATGGATGGATGGAAGGGTGGATGGATGAGTGGGTAGATGAGTGGTAGATGGGTGGATGGAAGGGTGGATGGATGAGTGGGTAGATGGGTGGTGGATGGGTGGATGGAAGGGTGGATGGGTGGTGGATGGAAGGGTGGATGGGTGGTGGATGGAAGGGTGGATGGATGGATGGGTGGGTGGATGGATGGATGAGTGGATGGGTGGATGGATGGATGGATGGATGGAAGGGTGGATGGATGAGTGGGTAGATGGGTGGTGGATGGGTGGATGGAAGGGTGGATGGGTGGTGGATGGAAGGGTGGATGGATGAGTGGTGGATGGATGGATAGAAAGGTGGGTGGATGCGTGTATGCATGCACAAGTGAATGGATGGATGCAAGGACAGGTGTGTGGATGGATGGAGGCATGCATGCATGGATGGATGGATGGATGGATGGCATGGAGAAAGAGTGAATGGACAGGTGGATGGTTTCTCAGCACATAAGCAGAGGGACTGTGTACTATGCAGAGGAGCAGGAGGTACACAGAGGCAAGACCTGGGCCTGGAGCCAAGACGGGAGGCCTAAGGACAACAAGCCCAGACAAGCAAACATGTGCCAAGCAGAGCCAAGAGCCAGGAGTAATTAAGCCAGCGTGCACAGCCCTGGAGCCCCAGCAGCCCTGTGTTCATTAAGGTGCTGACCAGGGAAATCTCATCAGAGATAGAAATTCTGGCTTGGGCTGCTTCCAGCCCTGGCCCTGTCACCTTCCCCATAGAGTGTCTCCTAATTTGGCCAGAGCCCTGGGGCAACCCTGCCTGCAGAAAATCTCCAGGGTTGAAAAAAACCCCTGAGCCCAGAGCAGGGTGGTATCCCTGCCTGGGGTGACTCACTTGACCCTCTGAGGCCTCCACTTGTCCTCTCCCTTCACCAAGTAAAATTCAAGGACCTAAATGCCATTAATTCCAAAAACGTCCATCTCAGGGCTGCTCAGAGCCGCCCTTGGCAGGCTTGGCCATCACCATAGCCCTGGCCTCCTGGAGTTGGCAGGTTCCGGGACGCTTCACGTGCCCCCACAAACCCCACTCACTGAGCCCCACACAGGGCTGTTTGTTAGGCCTCCATCTCCTCAGTTAAATGGATGGAGAAACTGAGACTCAATGAAATAAAGGAAACCGCCTTGGCCAAGAGTGCACGGCCCAGAGTGGCTGAGCCGACCCCAGACTCGGGACTGCTGCAGGCAGCTGGGCAAGGTCCCTTTCACAAACGCAGTGACCTTGGGGTTACCTGCGGAGGCTTGACACGCTGACCTGGGGGGACTTGAGTGTCCACCTGTTGCAACTGGACATTCCCAGTCTTGAACCCTGAGTGCACCTGGGATCTGGGAGGTGGGAGAGAATCTGGGAGGTGGGAGAGAGTCTGGGAGGTGGGAGAAAATCTGGGAGGTGGGAGAGAACACTGAGGACCTGCCAGCACTCTGAGCCCACCCCCAGAAGCCTGTGGACACCTGGGACACATAGACTCCCCTAACACAGGGGTCCCCAAACTCCAGGCCACAGACAGGTACTGCTCCACGGCCTGTTAGGAACCGGGCCACGCAGCAGGAGGTGAGCGGCGGCCGAACGAGCGTGACTGCCTGAGCTCCACCTCCTGTCAGATCAGCGGCGGCATTAGATTCTTGTAGGAGCAAGAACCCTATTGCGAACTGCACATACGAGGGATCTAGGTTGCAGGCTCCCGACGAGAATCTCATGCCTGAT